AACGATTAATTATATATAATATAATTAACAATTATTTTATGTTTATTTTATTTTTTATTTGATTAAGTTTTCGGTCATTCATGTTGTTTAAATGAATCTGTGTTAAATATACCATAAAATGATGGTGTCCAAGTGGTTTGAAGCCTTACATATGAAAGTTTTGGCCCAGGTTCGAATCTCAGGAGCTGCAAAACATTAATTTTTGCCCAATAATTGGTAGAAAAGGTAGGGGCAAAATAGTAATTTTAATTTTAAAATAAAATAATAAATAAAAAAAATGAATAATTATCGCAGTACATGAAAGTGTGATCCACGCGCTGGTAAGTTGGACGGAGATGGGGGAATCGTGCAACAGTTAGTTAATACAAGAGGGTATGACGCAATTTTTAAAATACAGGGGGAAAACGCGCAGATTTCGTATAATACAGGGGGATTTCGTGCAATAAACCCTATAAAACGCGGCCAAATTTATCAACTAAATTGGATTGGTGTGGTGGTTGTGGAAATACAATACAACCTCAAGGTTTAAGGTTCAAATCTGTTTTTTATTCTAATTAACATGCAGGATGCTGAATGCCACGTCAACTGTAAACTGCCACATTAGCACAAAAAAGCCCGAAATTCGGCCCTATGATTCGAATTGCAAAAAATAGTCAAAGTTGAGTATCAAACTGCTAAATTGCAAAGGTGGTGATTAAATTGCAAAACCGTGAAAGATGGTGTATTAATATGCAATTTTTCCTATTTCCTAATTATTTTACCTTTTCTATATTAATCCGTATGATAATTTACTTTTTACTATATTTTTATGACTTGTTTCCTTTTCCAATATTTATCCTAAGTGGTTGTTCACTTCAATATGATTGATATCTTAAATAATAATGTATAATTTTTTCCCTCAATTTATGGCAAAAAAATTATGTAAATTGTATCCATTTAAACTATTATTAAATTATATTTTTTAAACCATCAAAATATTAAAATAAAATATTTATATTTATTTATTTCATATACTAATTACAAACAAATTAGAAGCCTCTACGCTATTTTTTAAAATTATGATGGAAATTATTAAAATTCAATTTCAATTTTGTTTATTTTTAATTATATGTATTTTAGATATAGTGATTGTTAGGATTTTATAAATATATGAAAATATTTCTTAAAACGTA